CTTTTCTTTCAGTATTCTCTTAATGGAAATCACAGAACTAGCCTCCTTACTTCAGAAAAGCAGTTTTCTCTTTTGGAATCAAAAAACATCACAGACTAAGGAAACAACTACATTATCCAATTCACAGTGATATAAGATGATCTCATTTAATATGTTAAAAGGTATCAGATAAAGTAACTTTTTGGAACAAGAAGTAACTTAGAGCATTTTATTAGCAAGGTATTTTCATCTTTCTCATAGTTTTTGTTGCATAAGTGTCACATGCCTTTAAAACTATGTTACAGTCAGCCCTCCATATCCACGAGCTCCACATACGTAGATTCCACCAACTACAGATCAAAAATATTTGAAAAAAAAAAAGTGTCTTTACTTAGTATGTACAGACTTTTTTCTCTTGTCATTATTCCCTAAGCAATACAGTATAGCAACTCTATACATAGCATTTATATTGTATTAGGTATTATAAGTAATCTAGAGATAATATAAAGTATATAGGAGAATGTACATAGGTTGTATGCAAATACTACATCATTTTATATCAGGAACTTGAGCATCTGTGGATTTTGGTAGGTGAAACAGGTCCTGGAACCAGTCCCCTTAGATACCAAGGGACTACTGTATTTATTTTCAACTAGATTGCTTAAATATAGACTGTGTTCTTCAGCTAGCAGATTCTGAGGAATGGAGGAATACAGAGTGTATATTTTTTAAGATCATTCATTGATTTTTAAACATTTATGGGGCTGATCCTGGCAATTATTTATTTGTAGGTCATTCTTTTTACCTCAAAGGATTTTTATGATATGAGGATATGAGGAAATTTGGATTAAATGCTTTACATAGAGAATATGTTACTTTATAATAAAAATGTAAATAAAGCAATAGGTATGGGGAGTCCTTTTTACTTTTAGTCAACACTGGGTCAAGTACTTTGGGTACTCATATGTACCCTCAGAGAGTTTACAGTTCAGATGGAGAGAAAACCTAACGTTTATGCAACACCAGTACACATTGTAAGACAAGGTAAAATTATGTGCCTATTTACAAGGTACAGGCTACCAACAGTGTAGAAAGAAGTACAGAGGCAAGAGGAAGAAGGAGAACATAGTTTCCCGTAAGGATCCCAGATGAAGATGGGTTGGAGAATATTGAGAGAAAGGAGCCCCCATTGATAGAAGCCAATATAAGAATTTTCACAGAACTAGGGGTAGCCTTTAGATTTCTTGGGATTTTTTATGTACAGAATCATGTCTGCAAATGGAGGCAGTTTGCTATCTTCCTTTCTAATGTATATGCCTTTTATTTCCTTTTCTTATGATACTACACTGGTTAAAAGTTCTAGCACTGCGTCAAATAAGACTGGTAAGACCTGACATCTTTGCCTCGTTCCCAGTCAGGAGCAAAGCTTTGGCCTTTCATTATTAGCCATAATGTTGCTGAAAGCTTTTTTACATGCTGTTTATCAATTTCAATTCTTTTTAAATTTGTTGACGTTTTATGACCTAGAATATAGTCTGCCTTGGTATACCTTCTGTGACACTTGAAAAGAGTATGTATTCTGCCGTTGTTGATTGGATTGTTCTACAAATGTTGATTATATCCTGTTGCTTGATAGTGCCACTCAGTTCTATATCTTTGCCGATTTTCTATCTAGTCATTCTCTCAATTTTTAAGAGACGACTGTTAAAGTTTACAAGTCAATTGTGGATTTATCTATTTCTCATTTTATTTCTACCAGTTTTTGCTTCACATGCTTTGTAGTTCTACAAAGCGTGTAGAGCCTGCTGTTTGGTGCATACACATTTAGGATTGCTATGTCTTCTTGACAGATTACCCTTTATCATTATATAATGTCTTTCTCATTCTCTGGTAATTGTCTTTGCTCTGAAGTCTGCTTTCCCTGAAATTAATATAGCCACTCCTGCTTTCCATTGACCAATATTTTCATATTATGTCTTTTTTCATCCCTTGGCTTTCAATTTGCCTGTATCATTATATTTGAAGTCAGTTTCTTATAACAGCATATAGTTCGGCCATATTTTTAAATTCATTCTGTCAATCTCTGTCTTTAAATTGGTATGTTTGGGCTATTTACATTTAATATATTCATTGACATGTTGGGGGTTTAAATCTGTGTATGTGTTTTTTTCTTTGTTCACTAACTTTTGCAGCTCTGTGCAGGGGAGGAGCATGGGTTGGTCCCTTATCTTCCTATGGATTACTTGAACATATTGTAGAATCTCACTTTGATTTATCTTGGTGTTTTTGAGTACATCTCTCTATATAGCCTTTTTAATGGTTACTGAAACTATTAGTGTGGATTTGGCCTCATTACTGCTGGGTGATGTAGAAAGTCCTAACTCTCCACTAAGCCTCCTCTGACACCATCCCAGTGGGAGAGGAAAGATATAATTCATTACAGCCAGGAGGGGATGGAAGTCCAGGCTCCTCATGTGGTCACCACTGATACTGCAGTGGTGGTGGTGGTGGTGGCAGTGGGGGATGGATGAGGGCTCATTACCACCCTCTGGGGATAAAAATCCCAGCTCCCAGTTTGTCTCTGACATCACCCTGGTAGGAGATGGAGCCTTGAGGGGTCCATCATGGGATGCCTCATTACACTCTGTCAAGGGTGGAAGTCTAGGCTCCCCATTCTGTCTTCGGTGGTAAGGATGAGGTCGTAGTTTTTTCTGTGGTGGTGGCTGCAGTCAAGTGGTTATTGTCTGAAAGGTTTTAGTCTTGCTAGGCTTCCTCTTTCTTGGTCATTTTGGTAGAGAGAGCAGACTTTTGTTGGGGCTTTTTTGGTCTGCTTCCATTGGCATTTCCAGGTAGCTGCCTTCTTCAACTCTTAGTCTGGGATAATGGGGCAAAGAGATAACCCAGGGAGTTTGCCATGGAATTATTCTTGGTCCCTAAAATCTCTAGCTGGTCTGCTATCTTCTCTCCACCTTTCAGAGTCTTTCTATTTTTTAAAATACGTAATGTCTAGGATTTTTCACTGTACTTCGCCGGAGGGAGAGGGAACAGTGTAACTACTACAGCTATCTTCCTAGAAGCAAAGATCCTATAAATATTATTTAATTAATGACAATTTAATTGTTCATTTTCAAAGGCCCTGTTCATCTGCCTGCTATTTTTCAGTACGCCATTGGATAGGCTTTTTTCCTCATGCTGCACACTTAAAAGTATACATATAAGGCTGGGTGCCGTGACTCACGCCTGTAATCCTAGCACCTTGGGAGGCCGAGGCAGGCAGATCACCTGAGGTCAGGAGTTCAAAACCAGTCTGGCCAACATGGTAAATCCCTATCTCTACTAAAAATACAAAAATTAGGCAGGCATGGTGGTGGGTCCTTGTGATCCCACCTACTCGGGAGGCTGAGGCAGGAGAATCGCTTGAACCTGGGAGGTGGAGGTTGCAGTGAGCTTAGATTGTACCATTGCACTCCAGCCTGGGCAACAGAGAGAGACTCCGTCTCAAAAAAAAAAAAAAGTACACATATTAGTCAGGGTTCTCCAGAGAAACAGAACCAACAGGATTATATAAAGAAAGAGATTTAGTCTAAGGAATTGGCTCATGTGATTATGGAGGCTAGCCAGCCCAGCCCTAAGATCTTCATGGTGAGTTGGCAAACTAGAGATCCAGGAGAGCTGATAGTTTAGTTCTAGTCCAAAGGCCTTAGAACTAGAGAAGATGATACAGTTTTAGTTTAAACATGATAAGCCTGAGATCCAGGAAGAGCTGATGTTTCAGTTCAAGTCGAAAGGCAGGAATAATTCTCCCTTATTCAAGGATGGGTCAGTGCTTTTATTTCAACCACTTGGATGAGGCCCACTCACACTATGGAAATTAATCTGCTCTATTCAGTCTATCCATTTAAAAGTTAATCTCTCTAAAAACACCCTCACAGGAACACCCAGAATGTATGACCAAATATTAGGGCACCCCATGGCCCAGTCAAGTTGACATATAAGATTTACCATCACAGTATGCAAACATTTAAAAGCTCGGGCCTACCAAACTGGTTAAGTTGGACCTAAATATGAACTCTGACAGAACATGTTCACAAATTCACATTTGAGGCTCACTTTGAGATATACAGAGAAACTCAAGGGAATGAGTAAAGTCTTTGATAGATCAAAAATTTGTTTAAAGGAAGCAAACACTAAAACCTGAAAGGCAGTGTGATATTAGGAGAAATAAGAACCTTCTGGTCACCATGTTTCTTCAGGAGAGCTTTATAAATAGGAAAACTGTTAAAACTTTTATTTTTCCTGATTCTTAGGGTAAGAATTTATTTTTTCTATTGTGGAAAGGTTAAAAAATTCAAACTAGGAATTTCTCATGACCTGTAATCCCTTTGTCACAATCTTAACATGTCCCCCTGGGGCCAGCATCTAATGTCAAGGCCTGGCTGGTTCTGGGTGCAGGCGTCACTTGCTGGGGATAGCTTCGGACTCAAATAGACTTTAGTTCTCAGGCGTGTGACCTTGGGTAAATGGCTTTACCTCTCTAAACAGCAGTCTTTTTGTCTAAGAATAGAGGGATTTCATATCTGTAATCAGTAGTTATACTGTAAGAATTAAATAAAATAACGTCTGTGTAGCATAGTGTTGAACATGTAGTAGCCACTCAATAATTCTCGCCCTGACCACTTCTTATTATCATCATAAGACAGCCTTTTGTCATTGTAAACTCTTAATAAATACCATTTTTTAAAGGCTGCAAAACGTCCTCTTGTATGAGTATTCTACAATAAAACATTCCCTCCTAAGGTGACATATCTAAGTAATCTTTAACTTTCCAGTTTTATAAATGAGATTGCCATCTTGGTGCTTAAATATCTGTTTCACTTTGGATCATTTCCTTAAGTGCAGCTTCTTTGAGGCAGAATTAAAAAGTGAAGAGATAGAACCTTCTAGAAAGGTGGTACCAAGATTGCACTAGCAATGAGAGAGAGAGAGAGACTTTTCTGATTTTCAAACTTTATGTTTTCTAGAAGCATCAGATGGTGAAGGAGGAGGAGACACAGAAGTGATGCAGCAGGAGACAGTTCCAGTTCCTGTACCCTCAGAGGAAACCAAACAGGTGAGGGGTCACTGTGGGAGAGCCACCACTGTTAAATTCTGAAATCAGCCTTTTCGTCCTCTCTGTTGTTGAACTCCCCGTGTCCTAATATCGGTTGTTGGTGGAATTTAAGAGAGCCTTTTACTTTCTTTCCGTTTGAAAAGGCCATGGGCCATGCTTCCTTCATTGTAAACCAGCAAGGTCTGTTTTTTGCTCTAATTCTTTTTCTTCCCCCTTTTTTTTTTTTTTTTTTGAGACAGGATCTTGCTTTATCACCTGGGCTGTAGTACAGTGGCACAATCATGGCTCACTGCA